ACTAAACGTATCAAAAGATATGGTATAACCATCTCTCATGGAATTTTATGCATCATTCAACTTAATTTGTCCAACAATGGTAAACATATTCATGTGTGCATGGGCCAATTTGGATCAACTTGGTTTCTTTAACTCTATCATGAATAAGTGAATAACTATGAAAATTGAAGGATATATTAGGGTTTTGAATTCTTCAATCGATCCCCAACCCATGATTTGATAAGGGAACTTTGGTGGTAATTTCACTTTAAATGGGAAGAAATTTAACATAAAAGCATATATGCTTAAGTAGTAAAGTTACATCAAGAAAAAAGAGGATAACGACAAAAACACTTGGAGCTGGACCCATTTTATAATTCTAACGTAATCACTACCAACAAAGATTTCTTGATACGACTTGGATATAGACTATTGAACAATTTATTGTAACGTCTTTAAATTAGACACACAAGTTTTGATCCTATAAACTCAAAGTTACATTATGTCTTCATCAACACGTTCAAAGACGGTTGAACATTCTAAAAACCCATTTTGTTAATTAATGATATGCACGGTTTCATTTCTTTCATGGTCGCTAGCCTCTTTGTCTCAACTACTATTTTTGGTTCAGACGCTAGACAAACTTTAGATCTTTCGCCCAATAAACATGATGGCAAAGGATCGTATGAAAAGTGTAAGAAGAGATTAGAACCCTTGATCACTTTTAATCTCATTCTCACTCATGAATTGCGCTCTGGAAGGGAATCGATTTGTTGCATCTCAGTGCACCTCATTAATGTTGACATTCAATTAGGATTGATCGAAGGGTAGAGATCTCTTCTTATACTTCTCACTATAACTTCACTTCTCACTATGAATTCGTATATCACAACGTGAGATAATGACGGAATAATTGAAGGGTTCCTACTGGATAGAAACATTATTCTACAATCCAACATTGCTGGGGTGCACCACCAACACCACCTTTACCCTACCACTCCAATTCATCGATCTACCCACACACGCTTCCCAACCAACTCCTACTTATATATCTCTCTACCTGCTCAGGTTTTTTTCGTCTATTCTTCAAATGGCAAGTCGTTGTCTATCTACTGACTTGTACCTTTCACCCCAAAAATGTGCCCATTTTCCACTTTGTGTCAATTGTTTATAGAATAAGTGTGTGTGTGTGTGTCCATACTGTACTTTTGTTTGGATTTTCTGCTTGGTTGATGAGGGTCTATTATTGTTGAAGATGTAAATGAAATAGTAAGATATGAATCTTTACTAATTAATTTGTCAAAAGTGAAATATGAAACTTTATTGTGGATATGTGAGTCACCATGCAATATCTATTATATGTCCATTTAAATAATCTTATGAACTTTTGTCCATTAATATGGTTCTAAATTACCCTTTTCTATATCGCCTTCTTATGGTGTGTTATGGTGTCGAGGCTTGCCTTCGTCACCATATTAATTCATGTGGTTTCACTTTAAGTCTTGACTTCTGTTATAACCCGTTTTGTAACCCGTTATAATGCATTATGGCGCGTTACGACACGTTACTTTGTATGATATGGGTTTTTTTTAATTCTTTTAAACATATAACTTGAGGATAAATAAATATTATCACATCAAAACACTAAAGAGGTAAATCTTTACTCTCATTTTCATACACCTGCAGTGGAAGAAAAATTCTTTAGAAATTGAAGAAAGTAATGATTAAAGATTCAAGAGATTTAATTTTGATTTCGCATGCTTTATATCTTTTCTTTTAAGTTAAATATATTTGATATAAAATGATTTTTCTTTCTCTTTTAATTTTATAACTATAAATGAATTTAAATTATTTCACGAGATTATTCAAAATACTAACATATGTGCATACATATGCTACCTTACGGAACGTCTTCAAAAACATCAAGATCTTGATGTAACGTGTAAGGCTTGACGTTTGACCTCGTTGTCACGTCACGCCACGCCTCGCGTCGTCTAGATACTTGCAATTCATTAAGATGAATAATGTCAATTTAATTCGTTTCAAACCTAAAAAGGAAGTTTGAAGAAGGAAAAACAAACACTGAAATTTGCTTATTGAATAATAAAATTAAATCATTCCTCTGGACTCTGGATTATGAAAGAGTTCTACAATATATATATATATATATGGGTCCGTTCAAGGGAGAACTGGTTAGTTTGTGATAACTGTGAGATCCAATTTCAATCACAAATCAATAGATAAATTAGAAAACTAATATTCTTGGTAAATTGACTTAAATTTTTAATTAAAGGACATTTTAGGTATTTAAATTTTTTTCTCTCTCCTTTGTCTCTCTCTTCTGATTCCGGCCTCCGATAAACTTATCTCGGCGAACACCATGTGATACCCAAAATACACCATGATACACGATGTGATACCCAGAATATATCAAAAACATACCAAGTAAACTTCGAGACCACTATGATACCAACTGTGGTATCATTGTGATATCAATTGTAGTACCACTATGATACATATGTTGTGTGTGTGTGTATATATATATATATATATATATATATATATAGGGTTGGGTTCACGTGAGACCAAGGGTTTTTCGTGAGACCCGTAAGACCAATTTATGTTCATTGATCAACGTTATAAACTTATGATCTAACGGTCTAAAGTTGCAAGGTGGCAATTTTGTAATTATTGAGAAGTTTCGTGGCGTTTATGAATGTTCAGATCTGACGATTGTAAATTTAATCCAAGGGTTGAGAATTGGTCTTACGGGTCTCACGAAAAACCATTGGTCTCACATGATCCCAAGTCTATATATATAAGGAAGAACTAGATACTATTGTGATACACACCATGAACAATGTGATACCTAAAATAAAGTAATTAATCTAATTAAAGTAAATTGAATAATCAACCGAAATTACTAATTTGCCCTTCTATTTTATTTTAAGAAAAATATTAATTATTTTAAATGATTGGCTCACTTTGGATCTCACATTTACCGCAAACTAATTAGTTATTATTTGATTATGTTCTTATATGTATGTGTGGGGGGGGGGGGGAGAACTCTGTATTTTATGAGAAAACTGTGAGATCCATTCACAACCACATATATTGAACCCATACGTGGTAACTCACATTGTAGTCACTTATTGAACCCAAACCAATCTGTTTTCTATTTCAAATATCAAACTCAAATATGATAATTCGCATGAACATTTTATATTTCAAACATTAAATGTAGACATGTTATTAAATCTCATAGTTTTTATAAATAACTGGATTCTCAAACGTATATGATACATGTATGTATGGATAGTTTGACATGGCATCCAGCGTTTTGTATGCATGATTCGGTTTGTTTGTTCCTCTACCCTAAACAAAATGTTAATATTTGTAAGAGAATATATTATTTTTAGTTTGTAATATTTCCTCTTATGCGTACCATTCATTTCATATGTTTTATATTTTTATTATTCTAAATTTGACTTTCATTTTTTTTTTAATTTGTTATTTGTCATATTTGTTTTAATTATAGCATTTTAAGAGTACTTTTTATCGTTATTTTTGCATTTTAAATTATTATACCTGTTAATTATAACTCTTTAATTTTTAATTTTCTTAACAAAATTTAATTCAATTAGTACATCAATATATTTTTTATAAACTAATCAACATATTTAGTATTAAGATTTTTCATTAAAAAGTATAGGATTAGGGGTATAAACATCAAAATTCAACAACAATACTGGGCCGGGCCGGGCCGGGCCGGGCTGCTTAATCCATCATTATAACATTTAACGTAAGCACTACAGGTTTGTTAGACCAAGATATATAAAATGAAACGATATAGAAAATATCAAAGTCTGTGGATGGTATTGGGGCTTTAGTGACGGTTTTTGTTATTTATTTAATGATCAAAAGATTGGCCTTGGGCTCTATTGATTTTAAAACCGTTTTTTTTTTTAACGAATATTGAAACAGAGAGGAAAACAAGTTGCATACAACCAAACTCGGGGTTTGGTTCAATGAAACAATCTAATGCGACTCCTATGCGGTAAACCTGCTTTATCCTCTGGGCAGTTTTTGACAGTTATTTTCGATTGGCTATGCAAATGTATAAATACCTTTGTTTCCCAACATTTCAGATATACGAAATTCCCATCAAAATTCTCTCAAATTCTCCTTGGTTACTCAAGAACACATTATCAATTCGATGGGAATGAATTGACTTGCATCAATTCGATCCAATACTTGTATCCTCAAGGCGACGTCCGAAGCCAAGCACGATTGGGGACAAAATTCCATCTTCGGACACTACACCCTGGCAGGGCTTTGTCCACGTATCATCATTCAATTCGAGTTTATCATCGAAAAGGTACACAAATTCTTGTTCTTCTCGATTTTGTTAAGTTTGTTTTCATAGATTTTCGTTTTATTTTGTGTTATCGTATTAATTTGTCATAAAACCATCAAATTTATACTTATGTAGAAATCTCTCATTTACGTTGGCTCTTTTAGATAGGGATGTAAAGGAATTTCACATATTCCAACAATAGTAATTAGCTATGACGGTCCCTGATGATGGTGGAACTGGATTTTGAAGAAGAAACATTAAAGGTACGATGTTCCATGGTCTACATTTCTCTTCTTCTTCATCCCTTGAACTTTGTGCCTTCTCCGATGCTAATCAGGATGGGGATATTACTGATTATCGTTCTACTACTGCATGCTCTAGTACTGAAGCTGAGTACAGTATGGCTATGATGGCTTTTATTTGACATAGGTATTTCTCATCTATCACCGACAACTTTGTGGTGTGATAATAGAAGTGCCATTCAGATTGCTCATAATGATGTGTTTCATGACTGCCAAATAATACAATTTGTTTGATTAATCCGCAGTGCACCATGGAAGAATATAAAAGAAAAATCATTTATTTCTCTTAAACAATCATTTTTTTAAGGAATTATTTGAATATGAAGAAAATTAGTGTAAACTTTAAGGAATTTGTTGGAGATGGAATACAAAGCTCATACCACTAACAAGGAAACAACTAAAATTTACAATTAATTACCAACCAACTCAAACCATTGGGTAATTACATCACTGATGCAAATAAATACTCTCCATCTCTCACTCATGATTCATGTTCTTTACAAGATCATACAACTATAGAACAATTATTTAACAACGATCGCTAATGGAATTAATGCTTTGCTTTACGTGATGCTAATTACCTGAACGATCACTCCCCATTGATCATAAACGACTGAAATGGCACCCTCGTGATGTCCACAAACGTTGAGAACTCGTTGTTCATGGGTTGTTTCCATGGTTCTCCGTCCATCTGCATAAACGCTTCTTTCCATGTTCCACCCCTTAACTCGAACCGAATTGCTGTAGCCTGCATGTAGCAAAAGTAAATAATGTGAAAAAGAAAGAATTAAATATTATATACATTCGACAAGGAATGGATTCAGCCAATTAGTAGTACCTGGGCAATGTGTTTGGCTGAAATAAGATCAGCCATAACAAATGATGCATGCCATCCATGTTTAAAACCAAAAACTTCTAACACACCATCATCTGCTTTAGCCTCAACAAAACCTTTCTGCATTCAAACAAAATGACTTCCCTGTGAGCCATTATACAGACGGTATTTATATGGTGTGACCAACAAATGTTACCTTGTGTAAATAGTCTGGCTTCAAGTTACCCCATGGATTCCTTCCGCTTGCATAGCTATGAAGATTTAAAGCGACTATAGACCTAACACTGGAAGATACACATGTTGTCAGGCAAAAACAAACGTATTGTTATATTACATCAAGCACAAAAAATCGAGAAAAAATGTAATAATCTCTCAGAGGAAAGCAATAATAAATCAGATCCCCTGGATGTATTAGACATCTTATTAAAGGGTTGGGTTCAGGTGAGAAGCGTAAGAAGGGATCTCCACCCTTAGATGCAGATTAGGATGAGATGCACCGGTTCAATCCTCGTATCAAGCGTGATTCATGGGTTAGATCAAATTAGACAGTAAAGTTACCAAGTAGTAAGGTCAAATGACCAAGTTCCTACCTCTGGTACGTAAGAAATGTGCGACAAGTTTAACAATGGTCCGACTAAGAGAGTAACATAGAATAAACAGCTGACCTTGACGGGATAGTAATCGGCTCCCACTGTGTGCTGTTGAGCCTTTTAACATGCAGCCTCAAGATGTTATTTAGTCCCCTACATTCACCACATTGTCATTGCAAATTAAAAAAACAATGAATCTTTAAACTCAACCCGAATGCAGGATTTTTCCTGCATTTTATGATAGTTGGTTTTCTTTTCACTGAAAGGTAATATAAGATTCTGATTACAATTTTTGTCAAAAAAAGAGAGAATATATTAGTTAAATTAACCCAAAAGGACTTGAGATACGAACAAGTCAAATATGGCACGAATTTTGAGACATAGAGAGTACTTCAATGTGAGAAATTCTTACCTCAAACCCGGATCAGCTATACAAGGCGTAAAAAACCACCCTTGTTTGCAACTGTAACTCGAGTAAATTATCTGCAACAGAGAAGTAGTCCATTTAAAAAATCTCAAAACCCCAGAAATAATCAAATGCATATATGCTTACACATATTCAATCAAGAAAAAGCTTAGAGGATATCAGAATGATGTATGAAAGTTTTACGAGCGGACTAGAGTTTAGACCTTGTTTGAAATAGGACCTTGTGCAAGGTAAGGTTTCTCATTCCGTAGATGATGAAAGCCATAAGCTACTTGGGCATCCATTCCTGTAGGAAATAAAACAAGATAAATAAAACGGATAACAGAGAATGGAAGATCAAAATAAACCAAAAGGTGAGTGCTGAGGCCCGTAAGGGTATGTTTGGTACATGGGAAAGGACGGAAAAGGACAAAACAGAAGCTTGTTGTCCCATGTTTGGCACGACATTAGAACAATACTGCATTTTTTTGCCCCACCAAAATAGGTGGAACAAAAATTAGGGAGATCGGACAAAGATTGGTAAATTACTGAACTACCCATGTTAAATTAAAACCTTTGATAATTCTTTCATCCATCTACCTTACCCTCGCCGGTCCAATCCTGTTCCATCCAATCGTATCCAGTCACATCCGCCTACCAAACGCACCCTAAGGGAAGGTTACAGACTATAATAACCCTCAATAAGGTTCTGTTTAAGTATTATTATCGCAGGGTTTCTATGTTATAAGAAAGGAATTAGTAGATTTGTAGCTGAAAACTTGTCAAACCCATAACTCAAAATTTTTATAATCCACTAAAGAAACAACTGACAAACAGCTTGAACAAACAAACCATGCTTCAATCAGAAAGAATGTAATAGAATACCTATACTGAAGTAATTATAAAAGACCCCTTGGTAGCAAGAAACTTTTTCAGGCAACGGTCCTTCGACTTTTAGATCCTGCAAATAAGTCCATGGAAGCACATAGAAAATTTTACCATACCATGTAATTCCCATATTGTCTTCAAATAAAGATGCCAGAGCGCATATAATATTAACATATATTTTGATTATGCAATAATAACTGATTCAATGAAAATGTGCAGATATACTGTCATCATCACTGATTGAATGGACAGATTACTATGCAACTAATATTAACTCTGAGAGTTGGCCAGTTGATTAACTAGATTTTCTGAGCTGACTACGATCCTAACCTGATCAAGAACAACTTCTTCTGTTCGTTTCAAGGAGTAAGGGGTGTCCAAATCTGCACCAGCTGGCATTGATATTAAAAGACTCCAACTGTGCATGATAAGATATATTTCATAAAACGAAAACATGAGTGCACAACAAACACGAAAAAAGAAAATTCATAGCCACGTCTATGATAAAAATAAGGAAACGTATAGCATACTTGTAAATAGATATCTAAAGAACAGTTTATTATAAAAATCACTTAAATGTTGCAAAAAGAAATTTCACAGGTATGCAGATTTCTAACACTGTAGCTTCCACACATACTTATAATAGTTGACTTGTAAATTACAAGGAGATAACTGATGCTATCGAAAGCTCAAGAAAATTAACTCACCTATCAAGGCGGCTAATTGGACCACGAATAGCCTTATCAAGAGTCTTTTTTATAGCTGCTTTCCAGTTGAAAGGAAACGAACCACCCTGGAAATAAGTTCAAACATGTTTGAAGAACCTGACCAGGATAAGAAAACTGAAATTAGATGGACATTCTGTGATTACCCAACCAAAACTCCTGGATAAGTCATTGCCTGTACCAAGAGGTACAATTGCCGTTGGTGGAACTGGGTCCCGCCCTGCTTTATGAAGCTCTCCTAAACACCCAAGGACCCATCCTACAGTACCATCACCTCCTGCAACCTATCAGATAATAGCCAATACCTTAGCACCACAAATCATCTCATAGTAGATATAGAATTGCTATATAGCATATCATTGTATGTATACATACCACAATCCTCAACTTTTCACGAGTTTCCTTGGCACAACCATCACCAAGACTAGAAAACTTCTCCAGGCAACCCAACCCATACTGAATAAACTCATTAGGCTTCACAGTTAAAAGGTCAAAGACCTGCACAAAAAGAAAATTAAAGTAAAAAACTCAACTTTTATAACACACTGCAGAAACAGCAATCTGTATGCAATATGTGTGAAAGAACTTTGAGTGTATGTAGTTCAAAACAGTCCAAGTGAACTTCGACTAGTTTCTCAATCTTGGATACCATCTCCCAAGATAACCCAATCTGTATGCATCAACGAGGATTCAATTATGTTGCTAAATCTATCGAAGTTGGCCTGTTTATCACCTTTGGTTTACAAGAAAGGCGTCAAACTTTAACCGGGCCTAATGATCTGATAGTGGGTTTCGTGAAGAAAATATGAAAAAGAGTTGCCTTTAAGACACTGGAGTCCAAGAAAGCATAGCAAGACAATCTTCTGGCAATTATGAAACTTGTATGTGTTGATGCTTTTTTGCATTATTAGAACCAAAATTACTTGAGAAATATCAACATCCAAGATGTAACAAGACTTTAATACCAAAAAAAGTTAAACTCAAGAGTTCAAAAACTCTCCTTTTAGCAACCCAATTCTTGAATTCCGATTACTTATATACCAGTTTACTCTGATTACTGCTAGATTAAGGTTGATATGCAAAAACACAAGCTAAAATATATCAAAGTTCAATGAAACTTTTATAAGAAATTTGCAAAATGTTTTTCGATAGGGAAAATTAAAGCTTACCTGTTCTTCGCCCATTAAATCCTGCAACCTAGCTTTAAGTTCCGGGCCATAGCGCCCACCGCTCTTGGAATTAATAAATACAACCAACGGCGATTCAGGGGCGATGTGAGGTGGCTTATCATGGCCGATGGTGGAGAAATCATAGTGACGTTTCCCAGCATCGATATCTTTGGATGCAATGGCGTCTTTGATAGCAAGGCGTAAATACTCCGGCATCGTAAGCTTCTGCCTCAACTCCTCTTTGTGAATCCGTATCCCCGATAACGACCATCCCTTGATCGATTCTATCACCGACGACCTTACGGCTACTTTATTCACCACCGGCTCCGGCCCCGATGATTCCATTACTAATTCTCTCTCTCTCTCTCTCTCTCTCTCTCTCTCTCTCTCTCTCTCCCTCACGTGACACACGAACCAAAAAGAATTGAGTCGAGACTCGAATATGTTCCTGTTTTAAACCTCCAGTCTATAGAAACCGAAGATTCTTACGTGTTGAAATCTTGAAATTGACTCCGGTTATTCGTAAGAGAGAGAGTGTGTGTCAATACGAGGCCGGCGTCAGGGTGGGTGGGGTTCATTTTGGAACTCCGGCAGGGGGGGATTTTGAAAATTTTAGCCTTCTTAGTTGTGACATTTTCAACTTCTTTTAATTCCTTTCGTCGGATTTTGAAATAATGCCCTTGAGGTTGGAGTTAATTACGATGATGCCATGCTAATTCTTTCCGTTCTTCGCCAATCAGGTCCCTCCACGCGTATATGCACATTTATTTTTTTAATTCGAAAAATATTTAATTTTCATTTTAGTCCCTCTACTTTAAGTAAAATACACTCGACTACATAGATATAGACTTCATTTACCTTTTATTTATTGTTTAACTTATAGACGAATGATGGTGTTAGAATTGGAATCAAGGTGACAAGTGTAGGAAGATATTTGAACTTCAGGGGTCGTTTACCAAACGCTTACCCTAATAAGCGGTTACCGGTAAAATTCAACACTCTCACTTACTTACCGGGTAAGATCTTAGTCCACCAAAACAGTATCGTATGCAACAATTTACCCGGCAAGCGCTAACTGTGGTAAGAGTCGTCACTCTTACTTACCGGGTAAGACTTCGTTCTTACCGGGTAAGATTCTTAGTTTATGTCATATTCATCTAGTAAGGTAATGTGACTTGGTAGAGTAAGCGCTTACCTAGGTAAGCGTTTGGTAAACGGCCTCTTAATCATTTTTAATCCAAAATAACCCATGAATCACTATTTAAAAGAGAATTTATCTTGTGGTTATCTTCAATTATGATTGATAAAATGGTGAAGTTATATCCATTTTTACATTTATCACCATAACCATTATCTTCACTGGAACTCAACTCTAATGTATAATACTTACCTTTTTTCTTGACTTTTTAATGAACCTCTTCAAGGATTTATGAAGATAATAAGCACAAATGCTTTGTTTTTTAAGATAATATGACAACTAGGTTTGTTACTGAAAATTCGAGTCAAGTATATTGATGTTTGAACTCGACTCGTATCATTTATACTCCTACTCATGATAGCTGGTGGGTGTTCATTTGTAAACCTGTTATCCTTTTTTATTTAAAAATTAAAAACAAAGTGCCATGTGGACCTGTTTGTCGTAGTTCAAAACCAGAGTATTTATTACATTGATTCTATATTTAATTCATTTAATACTAATATTTTAATTTTAATTAAATATTCCAAAAAATTTATATATTAAAGTTGAAGTTACCATCCACATCATTATATATACATTTTAATTATTTTTAGACTAGTAAAAACATAATATATAATTCTTTATTTTAATTTAATATCAATTAAAATATAAACATTAATTTTAAGCAAACAACTGATATATGATATAACAATATAATATTTTCATTTTATTTATTTTATAATTCATTATTTTAATTTAGTTAAACAACATTAATTAATTTAATTAAAAAATAAATTGATTTATAAATATATTGTTTTATATAAAACATAGTTTTTTTAAACAATTTCAACAACAAAAAAAGGTGAGGATGTACGTGGCCATGTGAGATTTGCAAATACACTTACAAATTTAATAAGTAAAAACCCTATGTAGCATTCATAATGGTTTTGCAAGCGTATGTAAATGGGGTCTAATAAATAATAATCAGTAACAAATAAACCTTTAAAATACATTTGATAATAAAATAAACATAGAAAAATCAAAATCAAAATCAATATTATTAAATTATACAGTAATAAATAATTGTTTCAATCATGTAGCCACATGTGCAATGCACTTGTACATATAGGAATCTTCACATGGAAACCCCATACGTATCTAATCATTATCAAAACATAATAAATAATATTAATGTTAATATATTATTTTATTTTATTTTTTTAATAGTTAAATATATTTATAGTAATTGTACACTTAAATTATTTTTTATTAACCTGGATATTCAACTCGTTATGCGAGCCGACTAATTTCAAAATAACCACCTGTTTTGCAGATAATCCGGAGTTATCGCATTTGAATCTCCGTGGCTATAAGAAGATTTTTATTCCTCCTTGAATTTGAACTCGGGACCTTCTGGTACTTTTTGATCTTTGGAATCAAGCTCAAATCAATCAGGCATCACCCTTGTGGTTAAAACATTATTAAATCAAACATCTAAATTATTATAATTATGTAAATTGTATTTTTCTTTTTAGGTATACATCAGATAAATCTTTATATAACACGATCGGGGTAGGATTATTGTTCCTTACAAATTACAATTAATAAATTTTAGGTTATCCATAAAATATTATTGTTTCTTTATGCAAAAATAATATTTCTTTGCATGTATGCTGATAATTTCTATATATATATATATATATATATATATATATTAATAATTTTTGCATATAATTTTTTTTTGTTATTAATAATTTTCTTTTAATCAAGTTAATATTGTTTTCTCTCTCTCTTTTTTAACATTTGTTTCTAACCATGGCATTTTATGGTGATATAAAAGACTTGGATGCAAAATATTAGTTTTAGAAGGATGAAAATGGGCATAAATATAATCTAGTGGGAGTGAAGTGTAATATATGGAAACTCCAATGGCGAAGCCACCAAGAAAGGGTAGTTTGATCAGCTTTCCCGTGTTTGACGATTCCGTCGGCGTAAGACCGGAAACTTCTACTTTTGAATAACAGTTGGTTGAAGTTTCCCTTTGCATTTATTCTTTAAAAACGTTATCAATATTATATTATAAAATATTTGACAAAAATTCTTAAAAATCATTTTTTATATATAAAGTATCGTATTTTTATGCATAATTACTTAAAATTTCAAGATTACAAGTAAATTATGCACAAATACAACTTATTAAAGCTCCATGCTTGAATTCGTGTAACTAACTGCGGATAAACATAATTAAATAGAGGATAAACATCTTATTTTAAAATATAAAAAATATAAAATGTAATTAAAATAATTATCGAGTTCTAACAAAATAATTAATTATTATCTTTATGAGAAAATTATATTATTAAACCAAATATAAATTACTTTGTTATTGAACCTAAATTAAATTATAATAAAAAATTGAATTAAAAATTACACAAAAAATAAGGAATTTTAAATTGTTAATTTTATACTAATATCGATATATTTTTATCAAGATTTTATGATATCTTTAAATTTATATTTTATTAAAAAATAAAAACATCATCGTTTTTTCAAAATCACATAAGATCATATTATAACATTGATAGAGATAAAGAATAAGATAAAATATTAAAATCAAGATGTATATCGCCGCATTGCGCGAGTACCTTCTACTAAAGTTATAATGAATATGTGTTGAATTTTGGTAAGAATGAGAGTTAATTTGAGAAACGTAATAAGAGATTTTCATCTTTAGATGCAAATTAGAATGAGATGCACCACATCAATCCTTGCATCAAGTGCGATTCATGAGTGAGTTTGAGATTAAAGGAGTTCAAGGGTCCAGATCTCTTCTTACGTTTCTCGCATTAACTTTTTTTCTCACACAATCCTTGCTTATATAATATATACTTCCCTATATATATATATATATATATA